ACTGCCTCGGAAACCCAAGGAGGGGTTGCTATGAGTTGGGTCTGACTCGACGGCACATAACAACAAGAACAACATTCTGTAGGGTTATCTAGGTCAAGTGAGTAGTGGACCATTTTGCGATCACCTCAGGTCACTTGCAGGAGGAGACAGAGACCGTGTTTGTGGTGGAACAGTTTCTGGTGCCTCTGAATGGAATGCAGTCTGTAGGCTAAATGCCATCAGCATTGTTAATAACACTAACAGCGGAGTTGGTGGAAAACCAGTTTACCACCAAAATAAATAACATCCTCTGGAGGTTTCTTTGGTGAAATTTTGTAACATATGTATTACTGTTGACTTTGACAACCTGAACACTTGAAAATTCCAAAACGTAAGTTGATGACCACAGAGTCTAAAATGAATAAAGGGTGTCTCACCTCCTTGACTCTCCAGCCAGGACCATCTGGCTCTCTCCTCTCCTCTCCCATCCTCCTGTACTCTATGCAAGCTCATCATTTTCCTGGCTCTTTTGCTGCCTTCTCCCACGCCTTCAATATGCAGAATTCCAGGCTTGGGGGACTGGAACACCCTTTTGCTCTTATACCCATTAACCACAACCTCGCTTCCCAACTCTTCCAAACCTTAACCTCTCAAGACCTCCTCTGGGATTCCCAACCAGAACCACACTCAAGAAGAGACTCATGGCACAGACCTCAGATCCTGGACCCTCACAGACATCCGCCCACTCTTTCTGGGCAAGTTTTCCTTCCTCTGTGCCGAGGCCTGTTCCACTTAGGTTATTGAGCCAGGAGGCAGGCTTTGTGGGCCAGACATAATCAGCATTTAATAACAAAGGTATAACAATAATAAATGAAAATAATAATAATTATGAGGAGCCTAAACCTATAAATGAAAATCCATTTTAAATTAATCTTCATAAATCATCTATAAAATGAGGTTGGTCTAGTACGATATCTAAGATTCTTGCCAGCTCCATGATTCTACAAATCTGTGAATGGCTCCTAAGGGAAAAGAAATTTGAGCTTCTCAAACTATGAGAACAGTATGAGAAACAGTAGGGACTTTTTGAAAACAGAATTAGAAAACCAAGAGGAAGTGAAACCTCCAAAGGATATCTATAAGGACTAGAGAAAAATGAAAGAAAAGCATCATAAACTTTTGACCGTTTTTATGCAAAAGACTGAGGGAAGCATAGGCTAGAATCCATACTGGAGCCTTCACAGAGAAGTCTGCTCACCTCTGAAGCATCTGACTTTTAATCTCTCAAATGGAAGGATTATGGGCCCAAACCACCCCACCCTCACTTGCTAGTGCTCAGGGTACATCTGGCTGTAAGCTCTGAATTTGGATCAAATGGATTTATAGTCAGCTTTCTGGAGGGCTCAGAGTAAAGATGGTGGGAAGAAGTGATTCTGAAGGTCTGAAAATAAAACTGAGAAAGAAATGGAGAGAAAGAAGTGATAGGTCCATCACAGTCCTGGCTCTCTTGGAAGTTCCATGCCTCCACCTCTATTCCTTTGGGACTCACTCCTTTTCTGCATATTCCTAAAATCTTCCTCTCTCATCAAGTTCTCCCAAGCTCTATTCTTCCCCCTTAGGCCCCAGACCCTCCTCTCTCCTCCACACACACCTACAAGCCCTCTTCAACTTTCACTATCAACAATTTGGTACCTCCAGCTACTGGCCCTTTTTATAGCCCCATAAATATTCATATTTATTCCAAAAACATTGACTGAGTGCCTACCAGGCACTTTGTGAACTGTTACCTAAGACTCTTCCTCACCAAGCCCTGCAAGCCTCTGTTCTCAAGGGGCTCATAGTTTACTGGGGTAAACAATTACACAGTTTAGGTTAGGGTGAGGGCACAAAGGGGACAGTTTCAGGTTCTTCTTCCCCCAAGACAAGTCATAGGAAACTTTTCAGTTCCTCAAACCTGTTCTTTGCTTCTTAATCTTGGCTTCTTCCCTTCTCTTCACTTGGCTTACCTACCTTTCAGGCTTCCCATAAGAAGCCTTTCCTGAACCTGTCTACACACAGCCTCTCCCACTCTAGGACAGATTAGATGCTCATTAACAGGACTGCAAAGCCCTATACCTCTCCCATCACGTCATCTACTACTCTGTATTATTATTGCTTTTTTTTTTTTTTTTAAACCCATTTTATGAGCTCCAAGGAGGTCCAAGACCAGATCTCTTGCCCACCCCTGTGTCCTCAGCGCTCACAATGACAGGTACACAGCAGATTCAATGAATGGAAAGCCCACCTATCCCTCAGGAGCCCAGGACCTACCATTCCCTGGATCCTTCCCCGCAAGCCCCGCCCCTTGAGTCCCGCCCCTCTGGAGGATACGCCCCCTCACCTTCGCATTTGCTGGGCAGTCGAACCCAGTCGGTCTCTTCGGCTCCGGCCTGACTCGGGCCTAGCTCCAGAGTCGACAGCAGCAGCAGCAGAGGAAAGAGAAGAAGGCATCGGGGACTGGCTTGGGGCGCGCGCTCAGGCGACGAATCCATGGCCCAGCTGGACCTGATCAGAGCAGACCCGGCGGCGCTTCCTCCCTCAGCGCGCGCTGAGCTGGTTCCCTAAGCTGCTTCCGGGACTGCACACGTGCCTTGGCGTAACCACGGCAACAGCGAGCCCCTTGTCTCCCCCGCCTCCTTCTCTACTTTCGCCGTCTCAGCCCGCCCTCAAAGCGGACTGAAAACCGCGGAGGACGCAGCCAATGGGCTTTGTCAGGGTTTGCCACTTGAAGAATGGGAGGACGATTTTCTTTCGATGTAGGCCAATCAGAGAGCGGATGGTGTCCTCAGCGACCTATGGCAACATCTCTTCCCAGCCTTAATGGAGGCTGTGACAGTCTGGAGGAGCAGAACCTGGGAGGGGAAGCGGCGGTCTGGGCCTGAGTGGAAGAGGGTTGGGTGAGCTGGGCCTTAAAGATTTGGGGAAGGCCGCTTTCATAGCCTTCTTCGCCTCTTGAACGTCACTTCCCTCGTGGGGTCACTCGTAACGCAGCAATTCCTTCTTTGTTAGGTGCTGTAGTTAGTTGACTATGTACAACAGAAGGAAACATTGCCCCCCCCACACACACACTACATCCTCACTATAGTTGCTATGCCTGAACCAATTCTTGAACCTTCACGGAGAAGGCTGTGTCAATCCCTCTCGTTGAGGGGCTTCCTCTTTTTTGCTGAGCCTCGGCTTTTCCAAGTATGCTGTCCTTCCTGCAAGGACTGATCTCTCCTGCTAATATGTCCAGAGAACCTGAGATGAAGTCTCGCCATCCTCGCTTCCAAGGAGCATTGGTCTATACTTCTTCCAAGACAGATTTGCTCATTCTTCTGGCAGTCCCTGGTATATTCAATATTCCTTGCCAACACCATCATTCAGGTGCATCAATTCTTCAGTCTTCCTTATTCATCATCCAGCTTTCACATACATACGAGGAGATTGAAATACCATGGCTTGAGTCAGGCGCACCTTCGTTTTTCAAAGTGACAGCTTTGCTTTTTAACACTTCAAGGAGGTCTTTTGCAGCAGATTTGCCCAATACAGTACATAGTTTGATTTCCTGACTGCTGCTACCATGGGTATTGATTGTGGATCCAAGTAAAATGAAATCCTTGATGCTTCGATCTTTTTTTTTTCTTCTTCTATTTATCGTGATGTTGCTTATTATTGGCCCAGCTTTGAGGATTTTCGTTTTCTTTCTATTGAGATGTAATCCATACTAAAGTCTGTAGTCTTTGATCTTTATCAGTAAGTGTTTCAAGTCCTCTTTGCTTTCAGCAAGCAATATTGTGTCGTCTGCATATTGCAGGTTGTTGATGAGGCAGGCTTCCTCTTATCCTGATGCTGCATTCTTTTCCATATGGTCCAGCTTCTCGGATTATTTGCTCAGTATACAGATGGAATTAAATACAGGGAAAGCATACAGCCCTGAAGCACACCTTTCCTGATTTTAAACCACATAGTATCCCCTGGTTCTGTGCAAATGACTGCTTCTTGGTCTATGTACAGGCTCTGCATAAGCACAGTTTAGTGTTCTGGAATTCCCATTCTTTGCAATGTTATCCATAATTTGTTATGATCCACACAGTCAAATGCCTTTGCATAGCCCAGAAGGAAGATTGGGCAATCTACTTCCATAGAGATACTGCCTCAGAAACCTAAGGAGGGGTTGCTATGTGTCAAAT